TAAATTTTAATTATATATCTTTTCTTAAAATATCATATTCAGTTATCCACTTAACAAGTTCACATTGATGATAACATTGTATGTGTAACGTATATTAATCTTCTCAGAATGTACAAGCATGTAACCATTGAATGATTATAGGGAAGCCTTTCCTTTACAGGCATATCATCACACTTAATGTGGGATTGAGGGATCCTATATTAACCTTATAAAAGGGGAGCTTCTCCTCCCTATTTTAACACATCAAAACATCCTTTCTCTTCCTGGCATTTTCATCTTTTAAAGGGATAACGTCGACTGAATTTCACCTTTCTCGCTGAGTTTGTGAATGTAGTAGAACTGTGTTAACCTTGAGTTCAAAGTCAATTACACTTATATGCTATGAAAGAGGAAGTGATGATGATTTGTCATAGTGGGTTTTGTACGAGATCCTATGGCTGTTGGCAAAAATAATAAGAAAGGATAAATGGGTAGTCAATACTAGCTTGGGCCCCAATTGAACCAAAGGTACATGATGAATTTTTAGGGCATATATGATTTTAGGACTGATAAATTTATTTTTATAGACAACAAGAGATGTATGATAATTAATTTGATTAAGAATCTTGTAAAATAAATTGTAAATACAAATATTTATCCATTTTTTAGCCAACAAATTTATAACATGGGAAAAAGGTAAACAAGTATGCTTGACTTTTTTTTTTTCCTAATTTTATTATTCGTCTTCTCCTCTCTTAAGAAATACTAGACAGTTGTCAGTCCCTGACGGAGATGAGAGCTGCTATAAGTAGGAAAACAGACATGCAAAAGATAATGTCAAAGGTAACAACCATATGACGTAGAAAAGCTGCAGGGTGAGAGGTTAATACAGGCGTAATGAATCATGGAGAACCAAGATTGCAAAATGAAGCAAAGACAAGAGATATCTGGTCATGTAGTAAAAGGAGATTTATGGAAACTGAAGAGTGTTTGGCTGGAAAGATGACAACAGTGTGCAGTATCAGTAGCATAAGGGACAGGTTACACAAATGGGGACATCGGAGAGATAAAGGTTTGTAGAATAAGTGGGAAAACTTTCTTGATCTCCATTGACGATGAGAATTTCTTGCTGTTTTCATTGGTCCTACCTAAAGGAGATCGCTGCAGACGTTAACATGTGGTCCGAATTGCAGATTCAAGCCAAGAGCAACATGGATTGAACTTTCTGGTCTGCCTCTGCAAAGTTGGAATCAAACAACATTTAAAAGGTTGGCTGAGTTATGGGGAAACTTAGAAGCATTAGGCGAAATGCCTTCCAACGAATGACTGTGAGAAGTTGTCGGTGTTGATTACTACGAACCGTGAGAGAAGAATCGATGAGGTAGTGGAAGTTGAGGTGGATAGTATTGTATATTCAGTTCATGTTCTAGAGAAAGGATTCTCAGATAGCTCGGAAAACTATTGGAAAAAGGATATTAAGTGAAGGATGCGATGAATTTGGCAGTCGACGGTGCGGTAAGTCAGTCGGAATCTTCTTCGGAGGAGGACCAAATTGATCATTCGTTATCTGGATTGAAGAAAGAAAGTCCGTGGAGGACAAAGTAGTTAATGCAGCGGTATTGGAATCTGCTTGTGGAACCTAGCAACCTACTTGGCTCGAAAAAAAGGTGGACATCTGGAGATAGAAATCATTAGCGAGCTATCGATACAATCAGAGGGCAGGATCATTGAGGGATGAGCTGGATGATGGGAATGAAATATAAAAATTACGGGCAGATGAACCATCTGATGGGATGGTTGGTCGACCATTTCTTGGGCCGAAGTATTGCCAACGGGTGTTAAAGAAAATAAAAGTTTGGTCAACATGATGGCCCATTAGAAGAAGAGAATATCATGTATAGGTGAGGGCTCCGTATCTGCTCTAGCTCAAGAAGACGTTAGAAATATGGGCTGAAATTGAGCCACTGACGTAGTTAGCATTTCTAACGAGAGGGACAATTCTAAGTTTAAGTGAGAGGTATTAGTAAGAGTCATGAAGAGATGACAATGATATTCTTTCTTCCAGAGTTAGATCACGTGAAGAAAAACAAGAAAGGAAGTATGGGTCACTTATCGATCTTCAAAATAAGGTACTAACTCTTGCTCATCGAAGAGGAGAGATCGAGCTCTGAAGAAAAAATATGAAGAAAGCAGATTTGGCGTCTTCGGAGTTGTCGGGGAGATCCCTTTCTGATTCTGATCTACGAAAAGGTGGTCGGTTGCCAAAAAAGAGGCGGAAAAGACTTTAAACTGGGTAAGAACTTGGGATTCAAGTGATTGTTGCCGAGAGCGAGGTAATTAAAGAGCTGGCTCTTTTAGAAATGTGTTGAGTTAGTTTGTTTTGGTTAAAGGGGGTCGGGGCTGGTAGTCAAGTGTTTCAGAATGAGGATTCTTAGGTGGATGTCAGAGGGTTGGTGCGGATGTTAAATCTGTACTTGGCGAACGTTGTTGTAGAAGAAAAAGGTGGTTATGGTCCTTAGGAGGAAGTGCTAGTTGAGAGGATATTTGTTTGTTTTGGTTCAATGATGTTGTATTTAGGGAGCTTCCTGCCGTGGGAAGATCAGAAGGCATGGCTATCGTGTGGGACAAAGCCAGATTTAAGGCAGGTTGTTAGATTTTCAACACGTGATATATTAGTTTGATAGGTTTGGGTCGTGTTGAAGTGATACCTCGCTGGTCGTAGGAAGAATGTGATTAGGTGGGGAAAAAATTCAGTTAGCTTTATCACAGAGGCCATATCATGATGACAAATGGCCTTTTCTAAGTTTTCCCCCGATATTTGGAGAGCGAGTAAGTCGTGGCAGTGCAAATGATGCTGTGTCAAGTTTGTCTTTCTTATGTTAACTTATTTGGCCTTGGAGATTTTCTTGGTTGTTTGCTTATACATGTTTGAGTCTAAGTGTTGGAGAAACTTTCTCGATACTCTTTGCTGTTCTTTGTTTGTCCACGCTCGTGCTATCCTGGTAATTGTGAAGGTTTCGTGTTATCTGGTTGCATGTTTTTCATTTAATTGTGTTGGGTTATTGGCAATGCTTAAGCTTCACTTGCATTTAGAGGGGTTCATTATGCTCAGTTCTAAGATCAAGTGTAAAGATTACAAGAGTGATGATGTTAAAATGGTGTCATTCGTGTTTAGTGGAGGCTTTCGACGAACTTGAGTTTGGCGAATGTTTGTGTGTCGTTATTCGTCTCTCTCATTCAAGTAAGGGTCTTGATCAAGATTGAAAAGATTATTCATGTATTAAGGTTTTGAATTGTGACGAATGATTGGTTGGTAAAAATGGAGATATCGAGACAAGAACTCTTTAAACTTGCTGGTATCCGACTTAAATTTTGTTTCGTACGCTCCGCTTGTTTTTCTCTAGTATTCTTGCTGTTAAGTTGGCTTTGGAAGTCTTGTGGGATGCGAGGTGGGTTGATTTTGGTGGAGGTCTTTCGTTTGGTGTAGAGAATGGGAACTGCAAGGTGGATGGCCACGCTTTTCGACGAGGTGCGATATTCATCCATTTTCAAAGCATGGTAGTAATTTTGCTAATGCTGCGTTGTTCTTTTAGTTCTGTTTTAGTATGCAGTTTGTGCTGCTTGGCCTCTGGTTGATTTTGTTCTGCTGATTTTTCTATTTGCTGTTGTTTTGATCTTTGTTGGTGGAGTTAACACTTTGCTTTGTTATGGTGTGGAGCTGGATTTTTCTTGTTGGAGTGTGTGTAGCAGTCCTTTTAACTGGGTTGTCTTGGTGAAGAGTGTGGAAAGATTAATTTCATTCTTGAGGTGGGTGCTTATAATATTGGCTGTAAGGTGGGAGCAATGAGGTATTATCGAGAATAGAACAATTTGGAATACTGTTAGAAAAAGATTTGAAAAATTACAGTTTGAAGTTTTTTTTTTTTTGTGGAATCGATGAAGTTACGTAATGAGTGGAGGCAGAAAAAGGTTCACCCTCTTAGCTAAATTATCATAAACGTACACTTGCTTCATTTGGAATTTGCTTCCTCATGCTTTTAGTTAGAGAGCGATGTGGATATTGTGCTTTGCTGCTGCAATTAAGATATTGCTGCGGTTGATTACTATGATGGGTTGTGGTTTTTTGGTGAGGCGGTTTGCATAGGTCCACCACCTTTGAGGAAGTGTTTTTCATTACTTGTTGTCAAGGCAATTGTTTCATCAAGTTTAAACTGCAGGGAACTCTCCCAGGTGATGCTAGGAGTTTTGGTATTTGAATCAATTTAATGTTGTGCAATGTAAGGGTGGGCAGTTTGGTTGATAATTGGAATTGACTGAATGGATCAATTGTCTGTTTCGTTGTATTCGTTTTGTTAGCTTCTGGTTGGTTTTGTACCTTATACCTAGTTTTGAGGTATAAGTCCTCCATCTAGGTTAGGGAAGTTTTTTAACGAGGCTTAACTTAGGTTTGAATTATTAATAAATTAATTGCCGAGCAAAAAATTAATTTTTTGGTTAAATGGTTAATTTATGTTGTATTAAACTCTATGTAGTACTAGTAGATTTTAACTATAGTTAAAAAATAAGGTAAAAATTCATGTGAGCTTAACGAGCAACGAGTCGAGTTGAGCAACAAGTTTTTTTAACGAGAATGAGTCAAGCAAAATTTTAACGAGCAACGAATCGAGTCGAGCAACAATTTTTCTAACGAGCAAGAGTCGAGTACTGTCCAATTTACGATCCACTTGCTCGATAAGTACGCATAGCATGGCCATTTCAATAGGCATATTAAGGGCAAAACTGGTGCCTGCATTTTGCAGCCCAAACTAGTCAAATTGTGGGCAGATTTTTGGATTACTTCTAGCTTTTAAGGCCCTCTCTACACATAGCTTTGCCATACCCTTCCCAGTGCCAACAATACTGAGCTTCTTCTTCCCATTGCCATTGATTCTGATGGTAAGCATTAGTAAAACAGTCACATATATATATATATATATTGTACAGAGAATGAGAAGAAAAGACAAGGCTCATGGGGGATAATCTTTGTAGAATTATAAGTCCATGCTCTAAGCATTTATGAAAAAGGAGTTCTTGTCTGGAAAAACAAACATTTTTTTATCAGTCTTACATTAACACACTCGACATATCCATGGCAGAAGAATTCTAGGGTCCTGCCTTATAGCCTTTCCTGGGTACTTGCTGCTACCTTCATCTGACAAAATACTCAGAAACAGCTGCTGAAACCTTAAAAATGCTTACACTAATTGAATGGCCATCTGGTCCTGTTGTTGGAAATGATTAGTGGGTTGTAAGGCATTGACTTGAAAGTAGTTTCGAGAGTCCATTGCCGGATAAGTCATGGCCTCAAAGTTAGACCCTCCTGGCATCAAATTCATGTTCTGCATCTTCCTCTCATTCTCAGCTATCTGCACAGAATTAATCAAGTGATGAACTCCTCATCAAACACTAACCAGGGATTTAAATTGCAGTTACGTTCTCGATTTAGTTGCGTTTATCGTGATTGCGACAATAACAGGTGCTATTGCAGTCACTGCAGGTATCACTGTTGTGAAATAACGGTTTTAAAAGGCACCTTTACCACTATATAATGGCTGCTATTCTGATAACGGAGCGCTATTTAAATCCGCGACTGCAACTCAAAAACACATGAAGAGAAAGAAAGAGATATATATATATAGATACCCTTGCTCGGAGAAGTTGGTTATTGTTCTGCAAGTCATTCTCCTGCAGTGGAAAAATTCATCAAAACCAAATGATGAGGGAATTGAATGTTTAAAAGTTCTGCATATACTCAATTTCTGCAAACAGCTGCTCATTCTGGTGGCATTTGGGAGAAGAAAATCAAAGCAGAAAGGGAATTTTGTCAGTGGTAAGGCATCTTCAAAGATTATTGTGATGGATTTGAATATATATATAAACCTTTTTGGAACGGATTTTGCTAATTCCTCTTTCTAAACGAGACTCCAAGCTCTTTAACTCCTTCATAGGCAATCCAAGCAGTGACTCACCTAGCATATCCTGGAAACATATACTGTTGCAGTTAAAGAAAATGGAACTGATGGAATGAAGAACAAAGAAGATTATATTAAGATAACACCTGTTCGTCTTCTGCAAATTCCGGATTTGATTGCGTAGTTGTCGGCTTCTTGCTGGTAGAACTGGGATTTACAACGGCTTGCATTAGTTTAACACATGCAATCAATAACTAGAATAAGTAGGACTGAGGAACCAAAGTAAGAAAACTGAAAAATAGATCCGAACAGAACTGTTGTTCAATTCGATTCGGATTTTTCATTTTGCCGTTTGAGTTTTATTCAGTTTAGCCATTTTGACTTCACAATTCGTTGAGTTTCAAATTAACTTAAAAAAAAAATCTTAAAACTAATAATAATAATTTTATAATTTAAACTTGTGTGTTTGCATTGTTTGAAGTTTTCTCTCTCGTTGAATTTGATAAGTGATGAATAGTTAAAAACCGTAAAATCAAATCAAACAAAACCGAAAAATTCAATTTTGAGTAAGTATATGAGATTTATCATTTTTTTTTAAAGAGGGTACCTTGTATTAAAATGAAATACAAAGTACACCACTTCAAAGACCTCATTAAAAAACATCCTTAATCCTAAATGAAGGAAAAAGAGTGTGCCATTGAGGTGGTAAGGATCAACATACACAAAGAACTTACATCACACAGACCATACCCCATCCATACACCAATCCCCATCATATGTAGACAGGGTTTTGGACTATAGGAAAGTTGTGGATATGTAAACGGTTTTATTGATTATGGGACATTGTACATAGGTACATTGTATTTTGATGTGTTATTTCAAAAAAAAATCTTTTTTGATATTTATATATTTATCGGGAATTTAAATAACGGTTGTAATTATGTTTACAATAACGTTAATCGTGATTGTAAACATAATGGATACTATTATCATTATAGGTATCACGACTATACAATAACAATTTCAAATGATATCATTACCACTATACAATCGTCATTTTAATAATGAACCGTTATTAAATTCCTAATATATACATTATATACCTCCATAACGTACCTGAGTATTTGTTTCAGAAACTGACCCTGCATGGGAGGAATCACAAGCTTTTTTGTACCTATCAATCGTAGCTTTACACTGCAAAAAAAAAAAGTTAATTACATCTTTAAATATTTAAACATATTCATGTTATATAATTAAGCAAATAGTGCTGGCTTGGAGTGAGCATTATATCATTATACCTAAAAGCATAGCTATTAGCTAATAGTTAAGCTTAATGGTCAAATCAACCAACTTTCTCTGTAAACTGAATCGAATACGAAACCATGAAGGAGAAAGACTTTTGATAAGACCCCGAGGCAGGCACTTTAATGTTGATACCTTAATTTCGTCGAGCCAGTGATTGGCTGTCTCAGCCACGGCACTGTTCTAACAGTTTGATTGGCTCAGAGATTTCTCTGGTCAAGACTAGTACCAGGTGTCAGGAATCCATTATACCATGGATAATACTCTAAAGCCGTACGTTGTTTTAGTTATTGACCACTTGTTTTATAAATTTAATATTTTTTAAAAGGGCTAAAGTGAAAAAAAAATTAGAATAGTGATTTTAATCAACTCCTGTCCCTGTCTGAAAAACTGTGAGTACATCAGAGCCGTCCATTGTTGCCATCAGCCATAGTTTTACGTTTTCAAGGAGAAAAAAACCCCCAAAACTCTACCATTGGCTCGCAGTTGTCGTACGTTGTTTCTCTGTGTTTTAGAAACAATGGCGACAACAGTGAAGTCACTATAATGAAGAAGGAGAAGAAGAAGAAAGATACGGTTTTTTTTTGTTATTTTATCATTCTCATAAATCAATTGATTATAAGATATTATCTATTCGAAATATTTTCAATTAATTAACAATAAACATTCAAATATTTATACAAACGTCGAGTTCGAATTTAAAATCTCTAAAGATAACAATAATTTCTTAATTAATGATATTTTTTATTCGTATTTAAATTTGAGAATATATATGTATATATATATATATATAAGAGAAAGAGTTTCGGAATCATGTTATAACTCATAAAAGACATTTGCGAGCAATAATAAAACTGAAAAAATCGTACGTGACGTGACCAAAAGATTCGTTAACTAAGACAAAACACCAACCTTTCTTACCATGGGTCATCAAAACCCTAGATAGATTTCAACTGTGCCCAAAAAGAAATAATAAAATAAGGTTTGTAGATTTGTAATTGGTTGATGAAAGCAGTCGGGGAATCCATTAATAGTTTAAGTGAGTGCGTGCTAATTTTGAAAATCAGAATTTTTAAATAATTATCTATTTTGTTAATTGTACTCATCTTGAAATTTTATTTGTACTCATTCATATAAAAATATTATGTGGTTAATATATGTGTGTCTCCATTTAAAAATACTTCTAAAAATTCGTCTCGAACATTTTTCAGGATCATAAGAGAAAACTAAAAAATAAGCCTTTATAGAACGAAAGTATATTCTATTACCTTGAGCAATTAATTTAATATTACATGAATACACTTAAATTTTATCAAACACATTATTTTTATTGTTTTATTAAGAAAACACCTTAAATACAACTAAGAAAAAATAAATATGGGTATGATATGGAGCTTGATTTTGAATAAAAATAAAAAATGATGTATTATTTTATCTTTAGATTGAGATTTGAGAAGACTAAAAGTTAAATAATATTTGATAAATTGAATAATAAGATTTCAAAAGAAAAAATATTGTTAAATTTAATTCAAAATTGAATGAGTAGATAAAAGAAGAATGTCAAAAATTTTAAAAAAATATATGAAATATAAAAAATTAGGGGCTCAGCAGTAGCTAAGGGTACTCCCCTAATAGTCAGCCTTGTTTCTTAGTCCACCGTTGGATGAAAGATTAGCACTTTACTTGATTTAAGGGCTACCAGTTACAAAATCTTGTGAGGGGGTGAGTAGGTAGCCTTATGCTGTTAATGGCAAAGATTAAAGAAAATAAGAACCCTAATCTGGTTACATGTTTGACTATGAACTCACGTGGGAATCTCGGGGAAATTTCGTGTAAGAAGGAACCCTAATGTGATTTAGGGTTAGTGAAACCCTAATATGATTTGTTTGATGGGGGTTGTTTCTTAGGCCAAAAGTAGTTTTTACTTTCTTGATGTAACTTAACTGACATGCCATTAAAGATTTCAAAGAGAGAGCTTGGGAGCTAATGAGAAGTTGACAATTTTGCTGTTTCTTAGGGTCATTTACTTTAGTTCCCATGGTGAAAGAAAGAGGAAAAAAAATTGGAACAACAACGGAAGAGAAGGAGGAGCTGATCTCATAGACCTACAAAAGCATTCAATATTCCCTAAATCTATGCTTCAATTTTGTTTACTACCACAAACATAGTGTTCTCTATTGTTATCTCTTGCACCAGATCTGAGTATCCACCAAATTAGGAACTCAAGAAATGTTCATAAACAACCAGAAAAAAACCCCAAATTTTATACAAGTAAAAACAAAAGAATGAAGAGAAAGATCTGTTTGCAAGCCAAAATCTTCAACCAGCTGACACCCAAACATGATTTTTCAATGTACTTTTTAAAATAGAAATAGAATTTTGAAGCTGATGAGGTGAAGCTGAGATTAAAGATACCTGTTATTAGCATACTCATAGAGGCGGCCGCGGTTGGAGAAGACGATCAGAGCAACTTCAGCATCGCAAAGAACTGATAATTCATAGGCCTTTTTGAGCAAACCATTGCGCCTTTTGCAGAAGGTAACTTGACGATTGGTGTTATTTTCGATCCGCTTGATCTCGATCTTTCCCCTCCCCATTTTCTTTGAGTTCTCCTGGGATTCATTGGGATACACCATGGTTGCTAACTGAGAAAAAACACACACTCAAAGGATAATTCAAAAGGATTTATTGAAAAATGAAACCCCAAAAAGAAATGAAGCAGTGAAAAATCATTCAAAAAGGAATAAGTTTCAGTTCATGGCTGACTAATTTACCCGGAGAGAAAAGGAAAATAGAGGAGGGAAAGTATGATAATTAACTAAGAACAGCAACAAAAGGAAACTGGGTTTTTGAGGTATTATTTCTCTGAGCAGAAAGAAAATGGAAGCTGGAAGAGATGAGAGGTTTCTATTTATAAAAGTAAATAGCCACCTTTTCTTATTAACACCATTTACAAAACCAGCTAATTAATTTGCCATTTTTAATACAAATATATGTAGTTTTTTAGTTGTACGTGTATCTGGTTTTGGGGATTTTGTTTTTCGTTTCTTCTTCCTCTTCTAATCTTTGAATTATATGAAGGGTTGCTCGAAATTTCAAATTTTCATATTAGTCATCTTTTTTATAGTCTTTTTATTAATGTTTTGATTTTGCGCTCATTAAAAAATTATAACTTCACGTATCTAGGTTTTTAATATGATTTCCTAAATTCGTAATCTCTTATATAAAATCATGCGTTCGTCCTTGTGAATAGTATCATTCTACATATTTCATTAATTATTTCAAAAGCTTTTTGTGTGAATGAAAAGAGGGTATTAAGCATTGCAACAGAGGGTGAAAGGGACCCCTTTGAAAGGGATTATTAATGGTGGTGAATGAGACGATAAACTAATTAGTTGCAAAACTATCAGACCCAATTTCGGAAATGAGAGGACATGAAATTGCAGAAGAAAAGAAACAGAAAGCATAAATTAATTTCTAAAAAAAATAATCTTTATGAAACGATAAACAAACATAAACGGTGTATTAATTATAAAAAAAAATGAAAACACTAATTTTATATTCATAATTTCAAGTTTTTTTAAAAGAAAAAAAGTGTTTGACCGAAACTGATGATCGAAGTAGAACATAAGAAAGAGTTACTTCTATGATTGATGTTTGCTTGGACAATGATTTTTGAGAGCAAATTTGTCTATTAACTAATCTAGATTTGATACTATAAAAGTCTATTATAAGATAATTAATCCAACTCGAATATTATAAAGATTTATTATAGGATACTATAAAGATCTATTATAAGAATATTAAATATTTACCATAATATAATAATAATAATAATAATAAATAATAATAATAATAATAATAATAACCCAATTGATTAAATAAGAAATTATAAATCCAAACAAATTCATATTTCATTTTGATTTTTTTAAGACAAAGTTGTAAGCAAAATCAAACAATCATCATGAAGCCTGAATCATCTCTAATCTTATTTATATCCTCTTTTGCTAGAGTAACACCCTCATTTCTCAACATTCAACAATAAATCTTAAATTTATACTTGAGAATACAACAACATTAAATATTTGATAAGAAAACTTTATTTTGGGTGATCCTATCCAACTGAACGAGATTAATGTCTTAAATTATTAAACAAATGGATAAGGACACCTGTGATTCACACAAAAATAAAGTTAGCTTAAGATTTGCCACAAAGAATCTATCATAGAAAAACATATCCTAAACTTGCCAATTGGGATTTTCTAACCATCCAATTGCAATCTCTGAATCAGATGCAATTATCACACCAAGTTTATTCTTCCACTTGGGTTTTCTTATTAAAAAATCAATGCTTCAAGGACAACTTTGATGAGCAAATTTTAACAAAATTCAACTTAATTTAGATTCGAAATAGTAAATAAAGGAGAGGCGGAAAAACTAAAAGAAATGAAAGATTTTATGAAGGGAAGGAAGTGCCTACATTTTATAGTTTGAATGGGTCAAAGGAATAAAGGAAATGACTATGAAAAATGTTTAACCCCAAAAGGAACGCTTCATTTCACAAGAAATAAACAATTAATGGCTCATCCATGCTTCTAATTTCAAACCCATTCATTCCAAATTGAGTTGGATCAATTCAAATTTAATTTTTTTTAAAAATATTTTGGGTCTAATAAATTTCAAGTCTGAATCATTTCAAGCTTACATTGTTTTAGATTCTAATCATTCGAATTTAAGAATCTTATTTTGATCACTTCAATTTAAATTCATTTTGAGTTATTTTTCAAATATTTTGAATTTTAATTAGTTTTTAAAATTAAATTATTAACTTCTTATAATTAGATCGAATTAAATTCGAAATTTTGAATTCGAAAGAATAAATCATTTCAGTCTAATCAAAGGTAAAGAAAAGGCATAAAAGCCCAAAGTTTGTGATCAACACCAACTTAAGATCTACCGAAGAAAAAAAAATTGACCCAAAATAACGCATGATTTGTATTCCTTCCAAAACGTCTATTGTAAAGTACAGTAAGGCGTGTTTTTATATACGTAAATTTAAATCTAATCTAATTCAATTCCTATCCGATAAAGGAAAATAAAGACTCTAAGAGAAGGAAGGAGAGTATTCCTAGTGAGTTTAGAACTTATGACCTAAGTGAATACGAGAAAACAAAGTATAGTAAGGTGTTTAAAGTAGGTTAACCTGTATTAATAGGATGACAAATTCAGAAATAATTTTTAAGAAATATATATTAATATATATATATATTAACAATACAAAATAGATGTATGTAAATAAAATTTTAAGATGAATATAACCAGTTAAATAAATAACTAACTGTGAAAAGTTCAAATTTCAGAATAAACGCTTAAATTTTAGGATGGATACTTTTCCTCTTTAACTTAATCACAATTAAAAAAAGATTCATATGGAGCCATTTTTTCCTACATCATATCACAGCAATAAATTCATCCTAATTCAGAAGCAAACCCCAAATTTCCAAGCTAATAGCTTCAAGGCACGGCTTTAAACAAAGAAGATTAAACTATATAATCATTAATTACACCCCCTCAATGCAGCAATCCAACAAACACCTGATAGGCACCAAACCAAAATTGGTTGTAGTAAAAATGAAATAATTTGGATCAACAGTATGTAGCCTCATGTAAGTGATTTTGACATAACAAAGGCAATGGGAGACAATCATTGCGGAGGAGTTGTCACGCTGCCATTACCCACCAAAAGCAAAGGTAGATATGCATCATTTGATATTAGATGGATTTAACAATGGATCATCATTTTGATAATTTATAGTCCTTTGTTTCCTTGTCTACATTTGGCCATTCACTGCATTCTTTATTTTAACCATAGTCTGCTCTTGCTTTGCTTTAAAAAGAGTACAAATATCAATCAAATGAAACCTAACCGAAGGATAGGTGTAGGATTTTATGTTACAGGGTGTATTTATAAAACTTAGAGGAGAAGACGAATTTATAAAATTTTAGGAGGCGAAATAAATTTTCAACAAAAAATATATGAATTTAAAATTTTTAAGGGGTCGATCGCCCCATCTATTCCCTCAGTCCATCCCTAAACCTAAGGTTTCTTTTACCTACTTGAGGATTAGAAACTCAACAACGGAGTAGGATCAAAGAGAGGAGAATTCAATTGTTAAATTAACTTATAATATGAGATTAATTATGTGTTTAAATTTCAATAAGCAACCCATGTTTTTACCATTTAGTGTTTAAATTAACTTATAATATGAGATTAATTATGTGTTTAAATTTCAATAAGCAACCCATGTTTTACCATTTAAAGTATAGGTCAAACATGCATGTGCTTCCCTCCCTCCCCCTCTTCTAACTATATACTTATTATTGAATGGTTGATCAATAACCATATAACATTTCTCAACGAAAGAATTCATCAAGTAGTCTCAGTGGTGGAGATGAATCTATTAAAGGGTTGGGAGAGATGGTTGCTCCTCCCAAATTTTTGGTATAATAACATTTAAGTCCTTTTTAGTTTAAATAGTAATCAAATAAGACATTTGTTCCTCCCAATTCTAGATTTAAATACTTAATAGAATTTTGTTCTTTTAATATTAAACAATTTAGCTCTTTCAATATTTGATCCTAGTTCTGTCTCTGCTCAATAGTAAAAGGAAATATTATTCTCCTCAAAGAATCTGGGTTTAAGCAATTGTCTTTGCAGGGTGCGTGCACATTGTATATCAAATGATTAAAAATGCTCTGAACATATAATATCTTATAACTATAGTATATCATTAAGAAAACATTCCTCATTGAAATTTGATGCAATCATATGGATTACATGAAACTGGAAACAATGGAGCTTCTTCTTTCTTGCTCCATATATGAGAAAATTTGGCCAATCTTCTCATTTTCTAAAGTGGAAATACCGCACTGCTTTTCTCTTTCCCACATTCCTGCATATAAAAAATCCTACCTGTATCTACGTCAGGACCCGTTGCCTTTTTCTTCTCATTTCAACGCAATTTTGTAATAAAATGTCAAATTTAGTTATAACATGTAACACACGTGATATTTAACAAATTTAAAAGAATACTATATGGAAAAATTTCAAAGTTCGAATAACTTGAAGCTGTTCAATCTTTTATGGTATGCAATGATGATTAGAAATAATGTTGAGTTGGGAACACATACGTTAATAATATAAAATTTTGGATAAACTATAAGTTTAGTATTCAACTATCACTTTTTATTCCGTTTTATCAATCAATTATTATTTTTGTTTCAAAATCATACTTAACGTTATATTTTAATTTCATTTTGATAACCCACCGTTAAAAAAATAATGGTGATGTTAACATGTCACCATAAGGTAATACCACATCATTATTGATTTTTTTTAAAATGTCACTTCAGCAATTCTGTTATTTTTTTTTTTTACAGTGCGTACAATTTTATTGTGGTTGGTGATGTGGTTGATAACATAAAATATGAGTTAAATTAAATTTTTTTATTGAGTTCGAAGACAAATTATTTTTAAAAAACAAATAGGGTTTATTTGATTTTATAAAAAAAATATTTAAAATTTAAAATATAAAAATATTCAAAAAGTTAAATATAATAAAATACTAAAAATTTTAAAATATATATTATTATTTTTTACCTCGAATTTAACTTTATTTTTATTTTTATATATTTACCTTTAATTATCTTAAACTTCAAATGTATTCCTAATTCTATTTCACTATTTTTTTTATAAAATTGAATTAAATAATATGATAAACTCTTATTAAAAATAAATTTTATTTATAAATTATCATAAAATTAAATAATTTAAAAATATATATAGTAATTATACAATTAAGATGAAAATTTTATTAAATATAACATGATAGAGATTAGAGGGAAGTAAACTTCACCTAAACTTGATCTAAAAATAATAAATAGGAAAATCAAATTATCCTTTAATTTCTATTAGATACAACTTTATAAAGTCAAGATTGATATAAACTCCATGCATTTGAGGTTTTTTTGTCACCCCTAATATTTATTTACCTTTAAATTTTTTTAACGGATAA